TCTAGATGTCGGTTAGTCGGTTTGTTTGTTTAAACAGAAGTACTAAACCTCCACCAACTGAAACGACAAAGAAAACGATGTTTCATGACTGCACAATTTATAAAACAGACCAAGTTACACAAAACACTGACGTCATCCAAAGTGTTATGATCTATCCACAACCTGCATTAATGCTGGCGTCTACAAATATCTGATTTTCAGTGGACAGATGTCCCCTGATAGGTCTAAACCCTGAACGTTGTCTGTACATAAGACACTGTTCCCAATCTTCTTTTGCTTGAACAGTCTTTATTTTATCTCAAACCATCATCTTTAGCTCACCAACCTATTTAAGTGTGTAAGCTTAGTCAAACCTTGACTATAAGAGAGTCGGATCTGGAAAATCTGGACTGATTGTTGGATCAGAAAACAGAAAACAAACTCATCATTATTATATAAAGAATAACTTCAGACGTGCTGCGTACACAACTTTTTATGTCAAAAAATGACCTTGAAGACGTTTTTATGATTCAAAATGTCAAACAAGAACGTTCCCTTGATAAGTGCAGACGAACAACAACAAACTTGTTTCTGGGTTTCAGTCAGACTTTGCTCCATCTGATAATTAAACTGGTTTTCTGAACATATCAGCTAAAGTTTTTGACTGAAGATGTGTCTTTGAGGAGCACGTAAAGTCAATTACTGATAAAATGCAGTCCATAAAAGCACAAAAACAAGCCCACGTACACACACTGCTGCGGTCCACTGAGCGGTTTCTCTGTGTATATTAGTGAACGCAGGATTGTATAGAATTAGGAGACAACATAATTTGGTCTCATCGGTTTGGCCGACCACATGAGGTTCTGTTGGGGGGGCAAACATAAATAATGCAGCCCTATAAATACTAAACACAGACCACAGTTATCCTTGTGTAATCACAATGAGCGCTGGAGGGAGTCGGAGGAATGCACCGTCATCAAACTGTGGCCCCGAATCACTGAACAAACTACAGAAAACACAAGTCGTTAGCGTGCCAAAGACGTTTCTACCTGACCTCGACCCGGTTTGATTTTAGAAAAAATTTGGTTTTACATTAAAACTAAATGGAAGAAAACATGGAGCAAGAACAAACCGATCAGTGCAAAGTAATGTTTATTTATCATCAGTTTTTTCAGCTTTATTGGTCTAAATGTTAATATTACATGAATGCAAGTTAAATATTATTGAATAATTACATTCACAAAACAGTGCAGTCCTTTAAATGCACATAGAGACACACAGTCCAAGAAATGACAACCAACAACCGGTGGGAAATGAAATGAAATACAACAACAGTCACAAGCAGCTCACTGAACCTATTACGACTCTCGTGGTGTTAAAAACTGGAGGCTGGTGTCTCGGAGATGTCAGATGTCTTCCCACGTCTAAGTTCGATGCCAATACAGCAGCTCTCCATGTTAAAGGAGGAGGTTACAGGAGTGCAGTTTATTTGTGTTTTAGTGCCATTTTTACCTGGTGTTTGGTTTAAAAAGCAAAACTGCTTCGTTGTGTTTTGGTATCTGGTAAAATAACAACGTTGCTGAGGTGACCAGTACAAGAAGAGCTCCTGCAGACTGAAACCACTGAGCAGTTTTACAGCCTTTATTTTTTAGTAAAAATGATTTTCTGTTTCCCATTTGACTCTGAGCTGAGGTCGGGGTTGATGGACGGGCTGCCAAAACATTGGACTTTGATGTTTACTTCCTGGTTCAAACTGACAGTCTGCTAGCTTCATGCTTAGGGCACAGAAGTGGGATTAACCTTCTCATCTAGCGCTTGATAAGAAAGTAAATATCCGGCTTACCAAAACGAGAGAGCATTCCTTCAACATAAATAAAGGATTAAACAGTTGTCTGTGCTCGTTGGTATTTACTCTGGACTGTAATTATGTAAAACCAGCGGCGGCCTGGTAAGAAATCAGTGAAGACAGCGTGGCAGGCCTTGGAAAATGTTCTGCAGCATTGTTTAAGTGCACAGGATTTGAAGTTAATGAGCTACAACATGGAAAACCGCTGGATTGGCCCTTTTAAGAATACTGAAGTAACGTTTAAAGACAGAGAATCTGCAGAGGACTTCTGGGTTTTTGGGAAAGAATTCCAAACTCGTGATTCCTGTCAGCCTCGTCTGTCTGAGTAAAATGATTCAAGACTTCTGTTCTGGATTCCTGCTGCTTCTCTTTGACGTCCTTCACTTCTTCTTTTATTCTTCCTAATTTTCCCTCCTTTCATCCTTTTTCCTTCTGAGCTTTTCTCACCATCCATCATCCTCTTTCTTCTTCTTCCAGTCCCTCCCTTTGTTTCCTCTCTTCTGCTTTGTCTCCACTAGTTCCACTTTCCTCTTTTCTTTTCCTCTGTCTTCCACCAGTTTCTGTTTCCTTCCAATGAGTCCAGCATTTTCTCAAAATATCCAAAAATTAGAACCTTATTTTGCCAAACTTGGACCACATCAGGTTCTACTGATGTTAGAGCCTCAAACGTTGGTGAAATGTGACCAGAGACTAGTAGAACCATGGATCCGTCCATAGATAGACTCTGACAGGACCTTTCAGAGGACACGATACCAGCCGGGTTTTTCTGTACTGGATCATTCAGTCATTCTGATCTGATGGAAGTGATTCCGTCTGTGTCCTCATCACA